AAACTCTCCCTGGACTCGGTAACTCTGATCACCTCGTTTTTTTATTCCACCCATCATTTTATCTATAAAAAACATATCTACCCTTTATGTAAAATTACCTACCACTCTGGTAAAATAGGAGATACAGTAGCATTAATTACAGGCACTGACCTCGAAAACTTAGTCAAGTCGCATCATGATAATTAAACCGCATGCATCAATTTCTACGATGCAATATTAGCTGCTCAAGATTTGTACCAACCTCTAAAAACTTCAACACATATTAACCCTAAACCTTGAATAACCCCCTATAATCAGAGCCTAATAAAATTACGTCAAATATATTTCAAAGTTGGTTCGTATATTGAATCGAGGGAAATAACTGCAAAGATGAATAAATTAATCATCAAAAGAAAAATATTATATGACAAGCGCTACATATCAGGCAACAATTTTCGGAAAGAAGCAAAACAATGTAGTAATCCCATTTTTACTTAAAATAATATTTTAACCCAACTAAGGATCACCAAGCTCTGATAATCCGTCTCCAATTCTTTTAAAATCATCCCGTTTCAAAATATTTGCATCACTTTGTATTCTATTTAATTTACTAATTAAATGCAATCATATTCCAGATCAATGGAAACCAACTCACTTAACACCTATAACTAAAATAGCGAAACCACTTTCTATATAAGATTATCGGCCAATAGCTATCATATCTGCTCTGTGCAAAACCTTTGAACGTATCTAGTGTATCATACAAATCAATTGCGAATAATACATAATAATATCAAATATCTTGTGCAGGGGCGGATCCAGGATTGCCAAAAACTGCACTGATTAGAGCCTGGGAACAAAAATACCCTAAGTAGTAGGCATCACCCGCCCAAATGAGAGTAGAAATGATTTTTCGAAAAAAAAAAGTTAATTTTTTAAATAAAATTCAAATGTGTATCTATATTTAAAGTTTGATCAAAATATCATCTAGCGTTCAAAAGTTATAGTCGTTTTAAGTTTAGAGCCCTCTCATAACGAGGGGGTTGTAAATTTAAACTCGGTGTAATTTCTAAACAACGTAATATTTTTCTAAGAAAATTTAGAACTTAAACGATATTACCACCTAATTTAGGATATTAGAAATTTATATTTAGAAAACCCGATTCCCCCCACATTTGCGCGGGTGATGCATACTTTTTATGGTTTTTTTGTTCCCAGGCTCTAATCAGCGCAATTTTTTGAAAATCATCCTTAAATGACTAAAGCATGGAAATACAAAAAATTGAAGTTTAGAACTTATCTGAAAGTTATAACTCAAATACCGAAAAAATCCGGGATCCGCCCCTGTTGTGTATCATACAATTGTTAATTATACAAAGCAAATCTGGACCACAAATAAATAATATGGGTTCCTTCCTGGACATAGCACAATGGATACTATAATTCAAGTAATAGAAGACTTTAGCTACACAAAAGATAATAAAATGTCAATAATTGTTTTGATTTCTCTAAAGCTTTTGATATGGTCCCGACGGGCATTTGTTTTTAAAAGTTATGTTCTAAATGTATTTTAAATGTCTTTTAAACGTTTTTTGCGTAAGAATGTTTAGAAGACGTTTAAAAGACATTTAAAATACATTTAGAACGTAACTTTTAAAAACATATGCCCGTCGGGGTTGATCACAACAAATTGCTCTTAAAACTTCAAAACTTGCTTCTTAGCTGGCTACATCATGGATTGCTAGCTACCAACACAACCGTAGTCAAAGCGTAAAAATAATTGAGCATGTAACCGAATGGAAATATATTAAAGCTGGAGTCATTCAAGGTAGCGTTCTTGGACCTATTTTATTTATATTATTCATACATTATCGATAGAGAGCCGTCACCTTAATCAAGTTGCGATTCCTTCGCTAGTTCTTTTAAACTCTAAACTAGAATAAAAACACTCAATTAAACCTACTTCAAATTTATAGATCCTACACACTTCTTGTTCCTCATCTCACATTCTGTACAGCGCCCCTATACTCTCGTCTTGCAGTATTGCAGTAAAAAAAGAGCTACAACTATTCAACAAACAATCACTCAAACTTTTTGAGATCAAAGCCATAAACTCACATCATTTCAATATCTGTTACAATATCAAAGTTCTTATTGATAAACAAATATAAAATTACTTAAGAAAATCCTATCTAACCCAACACATGCAATAACTTAAAAACTACCTCAAACTACAGGCAGAAACCCTGACAGATTATTATAAAAAATCAATACTGCTAGCACTACATTGTACCAAAAAAGGTTTGTTCAGAAATATTCACGTATACTCCGAGATGGTATCGAAAACCTATACCTTTGTAAGTAATTCACAGTTGGTACATCTCCCACTTATAATTTTTAACCTAAGATAATAATTCTCCAAATACATTTTGAAGAAAAAATTGTAAAACTCATTTAAATGCTATGAGATTTTAAATAAATTGTTATAAAATAAAATAAAAATAAACATGTTTCATCGAAATTATGATCCAAAGGAAATAAATACTTAGCTTAAATACATGATTTGAAAATTGAAAGAAACTGCTCTTGAGAAACTTACAATGAAAAATTTTTTAAAATCTCTTAAATGTTTTAGAACTGAAACTTTAAAATTTAGAAATCATAAATAATAAATTCAAATTTTTGAACCAAAAGTTCTGGAACCGATTATTTTAAAATCAAGTTTAAACTCAAAAAAAAAAAAAAAATCATAAATGTAACATTTATAGTCGCAGCTGTTATTTTATTATGAACAACTACTATCGTTTAGTAAATGCAAAAATTATAACATAAAACAATCTTCTGATAGCATTTGAAATAAGGAAGAAGTTAGAGTTTTAAAAAAACGTCTAAAAAATACCAACAATTCTAAATTTTAGACTAGAATTTGTTTTAGACTAAAACAATTCCAAGATTATAAACTTAATTTAGTTAATTACTTAAGAAAACATATTATTTATCAACACTACATGATGTTGGTAAGTAAAATGTTCAATTGTTTATTTATATGTTTATCAACACTACTTGATAAACATATAAATAAAGGTAAGTAAAATGTTCAATTGTTTATTTACATGTTTATCAACACTACATGATGTTGGTAAGTAAAATGTTCAATTGTTTATTTATATGTTTATCAACACTACATGATGTTGGTAAGTAAAATGTTCAATTGTTTATTTATATGTTTATCAACACTACATGATGTTGGTAAGTAAAATGTTCAATTGTTTATTTATATGTTTATCAACACTACTTGATAAACATATAAATAAAGGTAAGTAAAATGTTCAATTGTTTATTTATATGTTTATCAACACTACATGATGTTGGTAAGTAAAATGTTCAATTGTTTATTTATATGTTTATCAACACTACATGATGTTGGTAAGTAAAATGTTCAATTGTTTATTTTATGTTTATCAACACTACATGATGTTGGTAAGTAAAATGTTCAATTGTTTATTTATATGTTTATCAACACTACATGATGTTGGTAAGTAAAATGTTCAATTGTTTATTTTATGTTTATCAACACTACATGATGTTGGTAAGTAAAATGTTCAATTGTTTATTTATATGTTTATCAACACTACATGATGTTGGTAAGTAAAATGTTCAATTGTTTATTTTATGTTTATCAACACTACATGATGTTGGTAAGTAAAATGTTCAATTGTTTATTTATATGTTTATCAACACTACATGATGTTGGTAAGTAAAATGTTCAATTGTTTATTTATATGTTTAAGTATTTATTTTAAATAAAAATAGTATGAAGCATTTTTTTATTTAAAATCAGTTACGCAGGTTTTAAGGATAACTTTCTTTTTTTTTTAAAAAAAAAAAAAGCCAAAACATAACATTTTTTAAGCGATTATGAAAGGTTCCAACGAGAATATCTTTAAGTCTAGTAATTGAACCGAGTTTTGAGTGAAGGACCTATGTTTCTAAAATAAAAAATAAAAAGATATTTAAAAGAATCGTTTTAGTATTTTTGTCCAGTGCCTCCTCAAAAATGAGAGGGTTATAAATGTTGCATGGTCATAACTTTCAAACAAACAAAAAAGTTTGAAAGAAAATTTTAAACCTGTTGATGAATTTAAATTCAGTACAATATAGAAAAAAAAAAGGATTTTATCAACTAATTGTTCTCTCCTGTGTTTTTACTAATTAGTTGCCTTCTTTTGTTTAATTCTATTTTTATCAACTAATCGCTATTAACTAGTTTTATTAACTAATTCTATTTTATTAAATAATTGATCATCTCCACTAACCGCAATATTTTGAATAACGTTCCACCTGTGCAATGCTTGAAAGTGTTAGATTTGAAACATCAAAAAAATCCTGTCTCACCACCGCCCCATTGTTAAGTTTTCATAGGAAATTATAAATCTAATCTAATTGTGTTCTCTTTTTTGCATCATTTTTAAAAAAGTCTTGGAATTCCATATAGAATGGAAATTACTAATTTAAATTGACACTGTGATAGGTACATTTATTTTTATAATGCAATCTATCAAAACAAATCTTTTGAATATGTTTAGCATTTAAAGTAATTAAATATAAAAAAGTGAGAATTATTTAAAAAAATTGTTGACAGAACGATTAAGTTTAGTATAAAGACTTTTGACACTCTGAACGTCCGTAAAAAGCGGTAAGTCAAAATGGAGGTTTCGCGGTTAGAAAATATTTATTTTTAAAATGCTGTGAAAGCTGAAATTGAAGCGTATTTCTCTCTTAAAAGTTGATCAAATACATTTTTAAAAACTGTGTACATTAAAGTATTTTTTTGGAATAATAAACAAAAAAAGATTTTTCTGTCGATATACATAACCGTTCATCTTTTTTAGACTTACCATCATCTGTCTACCAATGCATGTAAACATTCTCATTTTACTCTCCATTTGCCAGACAAATCAAAACGTACACACATATCCAAATCTGTCAAGTAAAAACTTAAAAATAAAAAAATAACATACTTATAGAACCAAGTAAATAATTTTGAACTGGTCCAACGCTCGAGTTATTTGGCAATGTAACAGCCAACGAAGACCACCCATCGCTTGAAGCGGTTCTCACAATAACCTCCAAGTAATAACTACGGTTAGCTTTTAGATAAGTGGGAGAAGAAGCTTGTTTGTCGGAATTTCTATATAAAAAAGGGTTTAAAGTCAGTATTAACAATTAAAAAAGCAAAACAGTTTGTGAACCAAAGTTAAAAACGTCTTTTTTTTCTAAAGGACGTTTTTTTATTTTAAAGAAGAACTTTTTTATAAAAAATCCTCTATGGCTTAAAATTTAGAAATTTCTAGATCTAGAGGACTTTTTTTAAAAAATTGACGGTAGTGCAATTATACCCCACCATTTCATAACCCGTGCCGTCGGTCCTGGATAATAGAAATATACAAACTAAAATAAAGTATACATTATCCAATTCTTGCTTAAAGAACTCCAATTTTGAGAAACAATCAGTTTAGCATTTAGAGGATCGTTGTCAATACTTAGATAAAGTCGGCACATAGCATTACATGTAGTGTAAAATATATAGTTTCCAGATTGTGGAGGAGCAAACCATCCACGCGCCTTTCTGCCTGAGTTTGAGCCAATAATGTCTAAATCAACCGCTGTAATAATGTTATGGTAGTAGGAATTATTTAGGTTTTCTCTTAAGTGTTCCAGATCAGCCTGAACGTTTGAAAACGCTTCACCAAGTAATCCGGGTGAATCTTAAAATATAAAAACATACTTACAAAATGTTAACTTTGCAAATAAACTCGTGTTTAAGTGTAGTTAAATAGTTTTATTAAAAATTACTTTTAACATGGTTCCAATTTTTAAATTTTATTATTAAGTATACAAAAAATGCCTAAGTATAGTTTATTTAGGTTTTTTTTTTAAATTATCTATAATTAACAGTCTTAAGATTGTTAATTTTTATTGCTCATTAGGGACTTAAAAGATGTCACGTTTTTCTTAGTGCGTAAGCTTAACTGCTTGTGATTTCCTCTTTAAGACCGTTTCTGATATAGTTTAATATGGGAAAAAGGTACGCTACCGTTGTGTTAAAAATGTTGTATATCTAGTAATGCACTTAGTTTTTTCTAGTTAGGTATTTATGTAATAGAAGTTACTTAAATTTTCAGAAAAAGATCATGTATAAGATATGTATGAGAGATTTATATTGCGCATAAATATTTTATTTGTTTTCACACCAACTTCTAGCGTAAAATAATTTAGAATTTTTGTTGGCTGTTTTAAAACTCTTGCATATTTTCAAAAATGTGAAAAAAGATAAATGCTGAAGTTTCCTTTAATCAATATATTAGCATAAATTTTTTTGTACTTTGTGACTAATAGCTTGCTAAAAAATTGCGAAAACTACAGAAATTATTGACTATAAAATTAATTTTATAGTATAATAAATCATTATTATTCTGATAATCTTTGGATTTTTATATACAAAAAAGTGTTCATTTCGAAAAAGACATAAGTCCATAAATTTAAATTAAAAATATATGTGTTATATGTTGTTTTTTTATAATAAATAAAACTCTAAAAACTTATGTATGACTTTTATTTATTTACTCTTATATTCAGTTTCTTTAGCACCATAGACTTTTTTTCTTATAAATTTATTTTTGTTGATCCTGAAAAGTTTGAATGAATGAACTTGTGCCCTTTTCGAAATCACGGGTTCAATTATGACAATCCTCATTTCATGACAACTTCCCATTCAACAAAGGATACGTGGTTCAAACCCCACCTCTGGACAGGTTTTATGACATCGGTTAGGAAGAAGGCGTGAATTTCCACTTAAATGCTCATCCGCACTACTCTGTGATAAGACCTAAAGGACTTCTTGGGGCACTTAAACAAAAAAACAAAACAAAAATATTTGAAAAAAATCTAATACTTGTATAAGCTTAACATTTTGTACAATTTTTTTAGATGTGTTTTAAAAACGTTAATTAACAGTGTATTTTTTGTAATATTTTACTTTTTTCCGAATGAGCCTAAAGTCTCGGGTAATAGAAAATTAAGTTTTTAAAACCTTGCATAAGAAGAACTCAACTACGATTTCGTGTGATTCAATTTTTTTTTTTTGCTTAAGCAATAGTCAAATTTATGAATCATAAACAACGGTTGTAGTAGACTTGAAACAATTTTACTTTTCTGCTTTATGCAAATTTTAGTCTTGATGGCAAAGTGCTACTGTTTCATATTTTACAAGTTCAAAAGGCCTAACTAAATCTATATATATATATATATATATATATATATATATATATATATATATATATATATATATATATATATATATATATATATATATATATATATATATATATATATATATATATATATATATATATATACATATATATATATATATATATATATATATATATATATATATATATATATATATATATATATATATGTATATATATATATATATATATATATATATATATATATATATATATATATATATATATATATATATATATTCATATATATATCAAGTATCAGTGACTGCACTTTGACAAGAGCATTTAAAAAAACTTTCTCAATTCTCAATTATATAAAAACGTTAAACCATATTAAGCAATGAATTCGAAAGTGTATTGTAATATATTTCACCCTAAAAGAGTTTTCATTTGCAAATTTCATAAGCAAATTCTGATTTTACGTACTTTTGCTGCATTTTGCCTTTTTTTTTATTAAGCACTTTTAAACTGTAGTTATAACTTTTTCAAATTTAGCTTTGAGCAAGATGAGTTTTATAGACGTCAAAGTTTGAAGACGTTAACGTCAACTTTAATGTCACAGACGTTTAAGTTTTAAATAAGAACGGTAATCTAATAAAATGTAAAATTTGTTAATTTTTTGGACAATAATAAATTATAACAATGTATCACTCTAAGATATCATGGCAAGTGCCTTTGTGTTATTTTTCATGCTTTTTTAATTTTATCCAACAACTTAATGAGTTTAAGTATTTATTTATCAATTTATAATCAGTAACAAGTTAATGCTTTTTTAATAATTAGCTTATGAATTCTGTTTGTCTTTTTCTGTTTGTTTTGCAGTGGAATGTTTTTTGAATTGGGACTGTAAGAGTTATTTCTGCATGGCAACCATTATAAGAACTAAGCCCAAAGTACTACTTCACCATATAGAGTGTAAATGGGTATATTTAGCAATGCCAAAGAAAAATTACCTAACACTTTCAGAATCAGACATTAAATTATTATTTACATTTCAAAAAATTTTTTATCAATTGATTGATTTGAAACAGCCAAATTATTAGGATAGGCTGGCCAAAAATTTTCTTATCACAGATTAATTACAATTTTTATTTCAAACTATATATACTTTTTCATTTTTAAATTCATTATTTTTTAGTTTGGAGGGGAAGAAGAATACCCTTTCTCCTGAGTCATTTGATGAAATTCTGATATATATTGCAATATAATAAAACCAAGTAAGTGAAGTTTAAAATACATGTTTAGTAATTACTACTAATACAAATAATTTATGTAAATCTATAAGCACACTATTTCGGGACTTAATTGTAGGTAATATAGTTTTATATTTACATTTTAGTATATTTTAATCTGTTTAATTAATAGGAAAATAAATATACCGCATCATGTCAAGTGGATCTAAGGCATGGCAAAATTTTACAAAAGAAAAAAACACAGAATCTACCACTTGTAATAAATGTAAAACAACAATAATGTGTAAAGGATTTTCAACAAGTGTTCTTCTTCGTCATTTAATTTTCACAAGGAAGTCGAAGTTGAAGTAACGAAAAAAAGGCCAAACGAAGACACAAGTTTTAAAGTTAGAGATGCTCAACCTAAAATTACGTCATTTATAAAAAAGAAATCTATAGAAGAAATTGTTTCAAAATTGGCGGCTGTAGATGGCTTTTCTATTAATGCTATTGCAAAATCTGAATTTATAAGAAAATCTTTATCTGATAAAGGAACGATATTGCCAAAAACACTTCACATGTAATGAATTTGGTAAAAAGTCAATACCATTTAGCAAAACAAGGAGTGGTCAAGGAAATGACTATGCAAATTCAAGGTGGCTCAAGATTCTCTATTTCGATGGACAAATACGCATCTTTAAAAAAGTGCCGCTATTTGAATTTAAATGTGCATTCATTAACTAGGCTTTGGAACTTAGGCATGATTCGAATGGTTGGGTCTCTTCCAGCTGAAAAATTTATTGATATGGTTGAAAACAAATTATCCAAATTGCAGTTAGTTACAATAATTATTGATTTCAAATTCATCGGGCAGTGAGTGTAATGCATCAGACAGTCAGAATTCTGATAAAAATAATAGTAAAGATGACGAGTCTGAAGAAATCGATTTTACAATTTCAGTGGATTTACTGTCAAGCCAAAACAACGATTTATTAAATTTACGAGAGGTTGAGATCACTGACGAATTATTAGGCTACATAAGTATTGCAAAAACAATTCAACAGGTCCGGAGAATTGTACGAATGTTTCCTAAATCACCACTCAAAAATGAAATTTTACAAAAATACGTAAATATTACATACAATAAAGAACTCAAGTTAATACTGGATGTAAAGACAAGGTGGAATAGTCTTTTTGCAATATTGGAGCGATTTATTGCATTACAAATATGTATATTAAAAGTATTGATAGATTTTAAACACAAAAATATTACCAAAATTTCGGAGGATGAATATTTAGTGGTGCAGGCTGTAGTAATGGCGTTACAACTAATTAAATTGGGAATTGAAAGACTTGGCCGACGCAACGCATCCCTACTTGATACAGAGGGTGTATTAGTGTTTATATTACATGTTTTGCACAAAAATAAAAATTGTTTTTTGGTTAAAATGCTGCAGTGTGTGCAACAGAGAATTGTTGAAAGACGGAATAAAAATTTAGTTGGCTTGCTAAAATATTTAAATAATCCATCAAATTATAAACACGAATTGGACATTCTGTATTATTATTGGCTTCCAAATCAGTCCTTCAAGCTAAGGCTAAAAAATTATTTTCTAAGCTATTTGTTGAGGATATTGATGGTGGTGGAAATTCTGCTGAAATTGAAGAATTAGAATGCAGTAATGATGGGATTGAAATGTCCTCTATGGCCGAACCAAATTGGAAGACAACATCTGAATTAACACTTCATTAAAAATTGGATTCTGCCATTACGAACGTTAGTCAAAATGAGAGTCCAGAAGATAACGTTAAAAATATTACAAAAGAAATGGATATTTATGATGTAACAAAAAAGCGTGCAATTAATTTAGAAAAATTATGCAATGCTTTATTAATTATCCCATCGACATCAATCGATTCAGAAAGAGCTTTTTCGGCGGCAGGTCTTTTTGTTACAAAAATTCGGTCATCGTTAAGTGATAGCGCTATCAACAATTTATGTTTTCTAAAAAATTATTTTAAAAATTAATTCATATATAAAATTCAATGTTATTGAAGTTTATATTTGTTTTGTTTTGAGAGTCTTAGTTTTCAAGAATTATTTTGTATTTATTTTCTTGTTAAAAGTAATAGTATTAAAAAGGCGTGTTTTTTTTTTTTTTTTTTTTTTTTTTTTGTATTTGTTTGAATTTACACATTTCCCCCACCTGATTGAATACATTCTTGCTTATTACCTAATCCCGGGATTTCTCGGGATCCCGGGAAATTAATCATTTTTTTCCAGGATTCCCAGGAATTAGATTTTTACGGGAAATGAGAACCCCTGGTTTTTCAATTGAAATTACATTGGTAATACACAGTCATTGTTTGAACTTGAATTTTATAATCCAAAGAACTTTTGAAATATGTAATAATTAAAAGTTTATTAAACTTATTTAATAAACTTTTTAAGTTTATAAATTTATTAAATGTTTTATAAATTTATAAAACTTAAAGTATGACAGTATTAAACTTTTTAAATATTTGCAAAGATTGAAAACACAAACTTACATGTTGTACATTGAACAGGTATTCCTATAGATATCTGAAAATTAAAATTTAGTATATTTAAATTTTTTTTTTTTGTTTGTTAACAAAATATTTATATTAAAGTAAAAAGGTAGCAGTTAAGCAGTAGGTAGCAGTTGTTGCAGTAATTAGAATGAGTCTTGTGAGTCTAATAATTTTCATACTACATTGAATGCCTGAAAAACAAAAATTTAATGATTTTTAAATTAAATTTATGATTGTGATTTAAAACACCCTTTTTTTTTATTATTATGTTTTAATTATTTTTATCATTCATCTGCTATAAATCAATATTTCTGTCAACCGGCAACTGGCAATAGATTAAACTGACCTGTATCTGACGGTGTCATAATTATGGACTATTTTCAGTAGCTTTAATGCAGAGTGGTATTAAACTGCCATAAAATAAGATATAAAATATTTTATCTTCATAATTTTGATCATTATTTTTGAATGGTGAGAGATTATACTATGAAATATATATATATATATATATATATATATATATATATATATATATATATATATATATATATATATATATATATATATATATAATTACAAAATTACAAATCAGGTGATTTGGATAGCCATATCATAATTTCTATAAATTTTTCAATTTTTTTCTCATTTGAAACAGGGCATACTCAATTTAATGCATGGTTTGTATTATTATCCTTATAAAAATATGAAACTTGGTCCAATAGTTATATTTCCAGAAAGCAAAGTGTGGTCCTGAAAAGTTTGTAACCATCCTTTTTTGTTAAGTTTGCTATCTATATTTAGTATTTTAAGTTTACCTTATATTTTCCTGGCTTATTATTCCCAAAACATCCCCAAAATTTATAACATTATCTTCACCATGTTTAATTGTTGGCACTGTACGCTCTAGCAAAGTCTTTTCGTTCTTAGATCGTCAGATAAATACTCTTTTGTTTGAGCCAAAAATTTGAAATTGAATTTGTCCGCTCAACCAGTTTTTCTAATGATGTTTTGTTAATTTCGATTTTTTAGTTGCTACTCATCCTCGGAAACCGGCTGAATACAGTCATTTTTTAACGTTTTTTAACTTTACTTGAACGAATTTGATTTAATTTTGCTGCAGTAAAGAAGATTTCACTTTATAGTTACTTTTATAAATTGATCTTTAGCTACTTTTATAATGTTGGGTGTCACACTACGTTTTTGTCTTGATTACTATTAATCTTTTGTTCTATTTTTAATGTATAATGAACCCCTTATGCAGAAATACCCAGTTTTTTTTGCAGTTTCTCTTTAATTTAACCTTCACCTTTAAGGAACAAATTGCGCTTTGTTTATTAATTGTTAACTTTGAACGTTTTGCCATTATGAAAATAAAAATTATAAATTCGTGTAAAAAGACCACTCTACTACCAGGGCCGTCCCGAAGAGGTCTTCCATGGGGGAGTGTAAGTATTTTTTTGCCAACTAAGGAGACACAAAAAAAAAAAAAAAAAAAGGTCCTCAATACTTGCAATTTGCCAGCTATAAATATAGCAAACTATATTACTATATTTGTATTTAAACTAGCCAATTATAACTTTAATATAAATATAGTTGGCAAAATGTCAACTATATTAATAAATATAGTTAGAAAAATGCTAACTCAAAAAGCATTTCAGTTGGCATTTCGCCAACTATATTTATTATATCAACTCAAAAAGCATTTCACATTGAGCAAAACTTGCTCAATGTGCCAACTCAAATGCTTATATGACAGCTTTGGGGGGGTGGGACACCCCCGATACCACCCATCGGGATGGCCCTGTCTACTGCAATTTAGTTAGCACACTGTTATTAAAGATTTTATCGGTCTGCTTGAAATAACTGACTGAAAGATTTAACAAAAAACTTTGGTAACATAATTACATAAACAAATATAGTTTTAACGGTTTCATGTAAAAAATTCCGTGATAAAGTAGTTATATCGTACAGATTTGATTAAAGATATTTAAAAATATATATACCTAAAAATTAATGAATTATATCATAAAATTTGGTTTTATCATTATATATTGACATTATTTTTCAACTTTTTGAAAAAAAAATCAAATATGTATATATATATATATATATATATATATATATATATATATATATATATATATATATATATATATATATATATATATATATATATATATATATATATATATGTATATATATATATATATATATATATATATATACATATATATATATATATATATATATATATATATATATATATATATATATATATATATATATATATATATATATATATATATATATATATATATATATATATATATATATATATATATATGTATATATATTACATCTTTAGAAATGTTTAATAAGTAAAGCTTACCAAGAAAATAACTTGAAGTTTCATTTTGTAATAATATTCAAAGTAAAATTTTTTACTTTTTTCCTATTGACTTTCAAGAATATTCAGAAAAAGAATTTCATAGAAAAAATGCATATTTCATTGGGTAATAAAATATGTATCTTAAAAATATTAATGAAACAAAACAATCGCGTATTTAGACCTTCAAATTAAATCTATATTCATGAAAACTATTTTAAAATGAACAACTCTTTTCACCAGTACTTAGAAAAATCAAATATTAATATAAAAGAATAAATTAATAAAATGAGAACAAAAACTAACGAAGTTTATATTTTTTAGATGAAGACTGAAGCAACGGATTATAAATGGAAAATTAAAAAGATGTCTAGAAGTTAAATTTGTAAAATCATTTTAAAATAATCCTTTTTTTATTATCATTTTTTTTTATATATATCTTTAAAAATTTGAAAATTATTTAGTTTAATAATTAAACTAAATAATTTTTCAAATTTTTCAAATTTTTAAAGATACAAAAAAATATAATAATAAATAAAAATTAAAAAGAATATTTTAAAGTAGTTTTCCAAATTTAACTTTTGGACAGCTTTTTAATTTTCAATTTTGCTAAATAAGTATAAATATACTGGTTAAATAGAAAAAACAAAAGCAAAATATAAAATGAGAAACTTTAAAACTTACTATTTGCTGAACTTAAAATGTAAGCAATTGAAGTTTTATTCCTTTTAAAGATTGTAGAAAATTTTTAAATATCTTTTTTAGATAATATATTTAGCAAATAATTTATTTCGAATAAAATTAAAACTTGTGTGTTGTAAGTATTAATATACAGATTGAATAAAAAAATAAAAGCAAAATATAAAATGAGAAACTTTAAAACTTACCATTTGCTTAATTTAAAATATAAGCTGTTAAAATGAACAAATTAAGAAAGATCGGGTGTATTTAAAGTGTTTACAAAGTTTTACAACTTTTAAATTCTTTGATATTAAGGAATATTGTATGGAGCTATTATAGTATATTAAGGAATATTGTATAGAGCTAAGGCTTTACCACACGGTAACCGAGAATAAAGTTTTTGAAAATTTTGTCAACTATCTGACTTTATAATTTGACTATATAATTTTTAGTTTGACTATAAACTTTCAGCGCTAAATTTAAAATGTTGTTTTGCAGTAAAAATTCTGCTGAGGATGGGGATGAGAATGAACCTTTTTATAACTGAAGATGCTAGTTTCTGAAAAAAGTTTGAAAAAAATTGAAAAAAAAAGATGAATGAGCATATTTTATTTCACAGTTATTTATTAATTAAATTTAACAACAAATCTACTTTTTAAACCAACATAAGTCACCCAGTTGCGTACCATCAAATTCTGCCCCTCCCCCATCCTCGCAAAAAATTCAGCGGAACTCTTTCTTAAGAAAAACCCCAACATTTTTAAAACGTAAATAAAAAGCTCATCAAAATCTATGCAGGCCTACTTGTTCAGCTCTACGTAAAGTAGATTAAAAAACACAAAAAAAACAGTTATTCACTCAATTATTTAGTTAATAAAGAAAAACTTGCTTAATTAAAAATTTAATCTCAGTCAATCAAAAAAAAAAAAAAATTAACACAATTGGAAATAAGAAAACAAGGGATTACACTGATAAACAACTCGATGCTGAAATTGTGAAAATATTATCTTGCAACTAACCACTACGTAAACCATCATTTATGTATGAAACTTTATCGTTCAGGGTTATGTATGAAACTTTATCGTTCAGGGTTATGTTGGAACTTTATCGTTCAGGGTTATGTATGAAACTTTATCGTTCAGGGTTATGTATGAAACTTTATTGTTCAGGGTTATGTATTAAACTTTGTCGTTCAGGGTTATGTATGAATATTTATCGTTCAGGGTTATGTATGAAATTTTATCGTTCAGGGTTATGTATGAAACTTTATCGTTCAGGGTTATGTATGAAACTTTGTCGTTCAGGGTTATGTATGAATATTTATCGTTCAGGGTTATGTATGAAACTTTATCGTTCAGGGTTATGTATGAAACTTTATCGTTCAGGGTTATGTATGAAACTTTATCGTTCAGGATTTTTACTTTTTTATTTTTAGAACCTGGCTAACTCTATTAGGACTAGCTCAGTCATCATTTTTCAGTACTTTTATTGAATTAAGAATAGTTGAAACGTTTATATAAACTAGCCGATTGAACTGTTCAAGTTTTAGGATTGGATCCCAAACTTAAACATGTTGTTAGTTTTAAAGAACATAGCAACCAGGCGAACCAGAATAAACCTGGTACAATTTTTCATCAAAGTAAAGTACCAGGAAAAATTTGATAAAGTGAAAGAATTGCGAGTAAAAAACTCGTAAAAATCTCCTTGTACTGAAGTTAATATATACAAATATTTCAATACATGCAAGAGTTCATCAAATGTCTGGAACTGGTGATGAAATTGGTGGCAAGAATAATCAAACAACTCTCTGCAAAAGGAGTTTTGAGCGTCCTTTTAAAGTACCGTAAATAATAAAAAAATAAACTACACTGTAGGCATCTGCATAAATGCTGCTGAAGTTGCACATCAACCTTTTATAATTTTTAAAGTAAAATACCTTGCAGTAAATTTCAGTATAGATAACAAAAAAATTGCTCAGTATACAAGTTCACTGTCAGTTCTAATGGAAGACAAACAATTCGTTCAATTAAAAACAAAAGCATTTATTTCAACATTAAAAAAATTTCTTTAAACCCATGCTTAAGTTCTTAATCGTCACATTACTCAAAATTAGATACTAGGTTACCAGATCTTTAGATATCAGTTTTGCTCTTTGTATTGCAAACAACGTAAACCTCTCAAATTGTCTGGCTCAATTGTTAAACATTATTTAACTTTGAGATATTTGATTCTATTGCCATGCTAAAAAGGTTGGTGCCAATATCAGCTGAACTAACTTATTATGCAGCAACTAAAAATGCTTTTGTTTAGTTTTAATCAAAACTTTTTAATTTTCGGTTTAATTTCCGCTTCCCTCACCTTCAAATATTACACTAAACATAAACAAAGTTAAAAAGTCTAAATTGAAAATAACCGAAACATTTTGACAACCAAAGCTTTACCTGTTCATAACTTTTAGCTCTACCTGTTCATAACTACAGCTCTACCTGTTCATAACTTTTAACTCGCTTAGATTTAATCAGTTCACAACTTTCACTTGCTTCCATTACGTGATTCTATCCAGTCAATAGTAGTAGCTTATGCAAACACGTCAATCTCACTCAATCAGTCTAAAAATAAACAATTATGGGTTGATCATGTCAACACTTTAAAGCAAAAAATGGTAAAGTTGACAAAACTGAAGGAAAATGCATCAATTTACCCGAGATGATAGACTCATAAACGCTGAAAACCAGGATAAAGAGTTTCAAAAAAAAAAAAAAAACTATTATTTAACGCAACGCAAAAACGTAATCAATTCATCAATCTACACACTAGTATAGCAGATTCAAACATAGTAAAAAAAAATGCAAGAAACGCACATGAAAGTATACAAAACGTTGAAAAAAAAATGCAACAAACAAAAATGATCAATGGCTCATATTCGAAATTTAAAATGCAAAAATTTGGTATCTTTCGCACCCTTGCAAAAAAACTCCATGGCGCCTCCAACCAGTAGGCACGCAACGTTTTATTCACGTCTTTTTCACGCGTATTTTACGTGACCTCGTCCAGGTGACTATTTTACGTGAATAAACGTGAAAGTCACGTTACCAAAATATCGTTGCTTTCGATTAAAAAGCAACGATATTTTGTGATTAGAAACTTGGAAAGATATACTTTATTATATTTACTAATTTTTTGTAATTTAGTTTATATATTCATTTTTATAATTTTTTTAATTTTACTTTACTGATAACATAATTATTTTTCATTGTAGTTTTATAATAATTGAAAAAAAA